GAGACATTCAGAAGCAACAGCTCATATGTAGTTGACATGAATAGCACATCCAGAAATGTAATTATTGCAGGTAAATGTGAAAAGTCGCTTTCTTCCCCTACAGGAAATTTCTTCAGATGAGAAATCAGCTTCACAGCTGGAAGGAGAGTGGGTTAGATAAGTACACTTGATTGGGCAAAGGGACAAGAGGAATTTGAGGGGATTGGCATTATAATTCATTTTGCCAGTGCTTATTGTGGAAATTTGAGTAAATATCTGCTATTTAGCAAATGAGACTGTGAGTAGGTGACATATATGATATTGAAAAAAAATCATACAATTGCCAAGAACAAATTAAAAGTATTCCTATAAGCTGCCAAAAAGGCACCAAATTTCTCCTGGCTTAATTTGAAAACGTCAGAGAAAATGAAATAAATATGGCACATTACTTTTCATAACTGCACTTTTCCTACAAATAAAATTTTGCTGTTTTTTAGGTTATCCAGAAAACTTCTATTGTAAAAAGACTAAATATAGGATAAAGTCTTAAGGACATTTTTTAATATTCACCTTAATGAGTTTTTGAGAAGCACATATATTAAAGATAAGTATTACATCATCACAACTGGATGAATAAACAATAACATGATAAATGGAGAAAAGATTGAAAAAGTAAAGGATTTCACTTTACTTGGACCCACAATCAACGCTTGACTCACAGTGATCCTTTATATGACAGAGTGAAACCTTGTCTGAGCATATATTATTCTCACAATCTCTACTGGTTCAAACTCAGTTTTGAAGTTACTGTATCAATCCATCTCATTAAAAATTTTCCTCTCCTTCATTAATCCTCTGTTCTTCCAAGTATGATGTTTCCAGTGACTGACTCCTCCTGATTGCATGTATAAAGTATATTAGATGAAGTCTTGCCATCATTGACTCTAGGGAGCAATTCTGGCTGTATTTCTTCCAAAACAGGTTTGTTTATTTCTCCAGCAGTCCATGATATATTCAATACTCTTTACCAACATAGGGGCAGTAGTCAAGAAATCAAAGATATATTGCAATGGGAATATTTTCTCCCAAGGACCTCTTTATAGTGCTAAAGAGAAGGATGTCACTCTAAAGATTAAGATGCACCTGACCCAAACCATAGTATTTTCAATCTTCTCATGAAGGAACATGGTTTGAATTTCTCAGGTGCTTCATAGAAGAAGGATGGGCAATCAGCTGCCATGCGATTAACTGACTTCAGAAAACCTGCTGGAGGGTCAGCTATGGGTTGGTCCCAACTTAATGGTACATAACAACAATAATAACATATGCATACGGAAGTTGAATAATAAACAAGGAAGGCCAAAGGAAAACAGATGCCATTAAATTGTGGCCTTGGTGATGAACATTATATATACTGGGAATGTAAAAAGAATAAACAAATCTATCTTGGAGGAAGCACAGCCAGAATGCTCTTCAGCAGTAGAGATGGAGAGACTTTGTCTCACATACTTTGGGAATATTATTGGGAAGAGTCAGTCCTCAGCAAAGACATCATACTTAGTAGAGGGTCAGTGATAAAAAGGAACACCCTCTGCAAGATGAATCCAAAGTGGCCGACCACTGGGTTTAAACATAGCAGAGAGTGCGTGTGAAGATAATAGAGCACTTGGTAGCATTGACTCTACAACCACTTAGCAAGAACAGAGTATCGAATATATTTTAGAGGAATTATTTTTTGTACTAAAAACTCTGTTGAACACTAAGCATAGATTTAATTATAATATATTTAGTTGTTAGAAATACTCAGTCAATAACATGCTTTAAAAGAATATAATTTCACATATTTCAGGAGAGTAACTGGGAATTATTAACATCTTACCATAATCTACTCAACTACTGTAAAAACATAAGCCTACATCTCTCTCTAGAAGGTTTACCCAACTTCACTGCCTTCCAGAAAGCAACAGGACCTCAGTTCACAACACTTTCATGTAGAAGGTTTCACCAGTCATCCACTGCAGGACTTTAAAGCCATTAAGCTTCTAGGTGGGCTCCCATGGTACTTTCAGCTTTATGAAAAAAATCTCTTTACTCAAAAACATGCACTTTATGAGAAAAGGTCCACATTTTATTATAATCTCAAGGTGGTCTATGAACCCTCAAGAGTTAGTAACTAACTAATGAGTGAGCCACACTCCAGTTTATAAACAAGCCTGTAACATTTCAGTGACTGCCCTTCAGACAGAACTAGTTGCTCTTATGTCCTGTCAGAACAATATGAGTCAGAATCAACTCATAGGTGACTTCAGGGTGTTTTCAGAGGGAGTAAATCACACAGAAGGAGATTATCCATTTTTCTCCAAAGAGCAGCTGGTGGATTCAAAAGGCATCCCTTTGTGTTGGCAGCACAGCTACATACCAGTAGGCCACCAGAGTTTCCAGATAGAACTAGAGTAGCCATAAATTAGGACATAGAGCCAAGTCTCTCAATGAGCAGCGAAGTTAGTGCACTACTACTCCCATGTCATTTTTTAAAGTAAGAAAAATGATAATTTATAGCCTTTTAGTAAGCATATTTCATTATAAGCAAGCAAGGATTTTTGTAAAGATATTATGTATGAAAATTTGGAAACAAATATAGAAGGTATTCAAACTAGCATCAAGGCAATCCTGCAAAAGATGTTGCAGCACAAACTATGATCTTTACACTCACAGAGAAAGTCTTAGGATCTCGGAAGGGTAAAACTGATCCTGACACATCACATATTACAATAGTGTACTACTTTAATTTAACCTCGCTTACAGCTATGCACTCTCCACATCTTATTGTCTATACATTTTCGGACTCCATACCTGCAATCCAATCCTGAACACATATACATGCTATAGACAGGTAAAGAGTGATTTCTAGCCTGGTCTAGACATACGACATTTAAGTGAAAACACATGACATTTAACTAATTTACTAGCCAAAGGAAAAAAGCAAATCATGCAACAATAATTAATTTCATGAGTGAAGTGTTTAGGAAAGAATGTTGCCTGGATAATTAAGAAAAAATGAGCATTAGTCCTGCCAAACGAGTCAATATAACCCACTTGATGCTTTCTAAAAAAGAGAAAACTGCTTAATCTGCTCTTATTCAGCAACGTGTAGAAACATGTAAGTGAAATTCTAACTATACCATTTATTACTGTATGGTTCTGGTCCTAGGACTTTTGGAAATGGCTTTCCTGTCCATTTTCTTAGCACCCTCCCAAATCCCCGCACCCGCCTACCCCCCAAAGGCATGGTCTCCAGCTGCCTCAGTTGTGGATAAGTGGTTTGACCTTGATCCATGTTTTCAACATCAACAGCTGTGAGGCCAACAAAAGAGAGAGATCTAACCATAATGTAGAGAAACTGCAGCAAGGTTCAGTCTGGTAGAGCCCTGGAGACAGAGCCAGAATGAAAGGTTTTGCTTACTGGATTATTGAAGGAACAGTTAATTGGGGACTTCTGTGAGACAAAGCTTATTAGACAATTGAGGAAACCAGAGGTTTCTTGCGTTTGTGTTGTAGGACTGGACTTGCTGACTGAGAAGTAAACTGAACAAATTCAGGAATTATGTTTTGCTGCCGTTCTGGCTTTGGACTGCTGATTACAAAACCTGGACTTTCCCTTTGTGATATCTTTGGCCTCTTCCTCCCCACAACCTATTTCCCTAATATACTCCAGAACTGGTAAGCAGTAAAATGAGATTCTGTAAAGTCTGATGGTCATTGGCAACTATATCAGACCCACTGATTAGTAGAAGTAGCTGCAAAAGTGTGTGGGGGCCATGTCTGATCATACAGGGATCAGTTTTGTACTGTAGATGTTGTTGTTGGGGACAGTTCCACTTTATATGAAATTAAAACAGCTTGGACTAGGCCTTCCCTTCATTGCCCTTGCCCCTTTTACAACGATTTTAGACAAATTACTTAATCTGTCAGTAAAATGAGCATAACAATAGGCTTTGTTTGGATTAAATGCAGTGATTCTTAGAACCATAGTTCTTCACTTTTTATAACAACCATCATCATCACTATCACAAACAGGCACATAAGCAACTGACTGCAGAAAGGGAGTTAAGAAAGGGAATTAAGGATACTTAAGACTTAAGTTGTTAACAAATGTTGAAACTTTTCAGATAAATTAAAATTTAGTAATTCTAACTACACCTTCAATAAGAACTGTTAAGTTTTGCTCAATTCAGGTTATTCTTGAGGCACATTTTTCTCGGTGGTAAGGAGATGCATTGCCAACCCTAAGGGCAGCTGGCTTGAATCCACCAGTTACTCCAGGGAAGAAAGGTGGGCAATTTCCTCCTATGTGATTTGTTGCCTCTGAAAACCTGCTGATAGGTAAGCTATTAGTTCTGACTCAACAGTAAGTAAAAATATAACCATCAATATACCACCCACAAGCTGCTCTGCAGAAAGATGGGTAATCTCCTCCCACGCAATTAACTGCCTCTGAAAACCTGCTGGAGGGTCAGCTACAGGTCAGTTCCGACACTGTGGTACCCAATAACAACAAAAACATACCACAGTAGTTCAACTCAGAAAAGACAAGAAGGCCGGATTAGTCTGCATCAATGGACCAGTTCCTTCTCAAAATTGTGTGCTGGGCCATCTCAAGTATCCCTGGTATGTTAAAACAACTCCTTCTATGGAGGATCTGATTGGTCTACATGTACTGCCTGAGTAAATGCTTTTCTCAAGTTCTGTTTGTGGAGAATTAAAAAGTTAGCTAAAAACTTTAATGTCAGTACCTGGTTTGGATGACTACACTGGGGTCATTTTATCCCTTGACAAAGACCCATCTGACGCAAGGAAAGAATAAAAACCTGGAACTAGTTTTCAGGACAGTCCCTAAGACTCCCAATAGAGCCAATCATTCATGGATTTCATTCAAGTCGTTATCTACCACGGGTCTACTTGTCAGACCACAATCTCAAATATTTCAAATTAAAAATGTTGTCAAAAACGAAGAGTTTTACCTTTTCATATTCAGCAATGCCCAAGGTATTCCAGAAGGAGTATGAAATGCAGGTAGCAATTTTACCCCAAGTTCCACTGCTTTCTTTCGAAATATCTGAAAAGTTAAACAATTCAATGAGCTACTGGTACAAGCAAAACAAATGTACTAATACTACCAGCAGGAGAATAACATTGTTCTACTTTACAATTATCATTATATTTAAAAAAAGCTTTGCAAATTAATATAATTGCCTCCTTTTCTGATAAGAGCATTTACTGAATAAAGCAAGGATATTCTAGAAGGCGAGCACCCCACAAGGCATTTATTCTCAACTGTGGTTGAATATTAGAATCATGGGAGGGGAGGAGGGGAGGAGGGGAGGATTTTAACAATATTTATGTCCAAGCCCCTCTGCTAAGATTTTAATGGCTGAGGTCGCTGAGATAAAATTTCTGAAAGCTCTCCAACTGATGTCACATCATTTAAATGTTCAGGTATGTTGAGAACCACTGATATCAGAGAATCATGGGATCTGGCCCTGTTCTGGTGTCAGCACATTTATTTACTGGGACAAAGAGAAAGAGAATCTATGTGTTTGCTCAGGCTCTTGGAGCTTTAAATTTTTGGTCTTTAGGGAACTGCGCTGCTAACCCAAAGGCTGTGCCTGTCTGGTGGTTTGAATCTACCAGTGGCTCCAAGGAAGGCAATGAATTTGAAGGTGTTTTTTGTTTGTTTGTTTTTCCAGTTTGAGTGTAGGTGACAAGCAAGCTACACAGTTAAATTAGATGTGGTTTCTGCCCCTATGGATGTCAGAGTTTAGCAGGAAGACAAAATGGGGTTGTACAATTTGATGGGGGAAGGGCGAGAGAAACTGGAAGGAACTGGTATGAAAACACTGTATTAGAATTTTGTAAATAAACTAGCATTAAAAAAAAATACAGCCATGTAAGTAATGTAGAACACATATGAAATGAAGGAGATAAGACAGAGCCCCATACAAAATCCTGTGAGCTCAGTGAAGTTTCATGGTAGAGTGTTTAGATGAGGATTCTATATATTTAATTAGGGAGCTCTGGTGGCCTAGTGGTAAGGAGTTGTGCAGGAAACCCAAAGACCAGCTGCTCTGTGGGAGAAAGATGGACAATCTCCTTCTTTGCGATTAATGCCATGCCTTTGAAAACTCATTGGAGTGCCAGCTATGGGTGAGTTCTGACTTGATGGTGCACAACAACAACAACAACAACAACAACAACAACAAGAATAATACAGATTAGTGTGAGAAGTGGAAAGTGAAGGGACACTCCAGAAGAAATCTATGGAAACCAAGATTAAGTGGAGGCAACAAAAGAAACAGGGGTTAGATCCATTTGTTTGACAAAATGGTAATACTGGCAAACAGAGTAGTAGCACATGCCAAAATCATGGAAAGTTGTGAATGAAAAGGCTAAGAATCTTAATCTATTAAAATGGGAAAATACAAATGTTTTGAGCTTTGGCAAGATTGATCAGTGTTTTAGGTCATTCTGGCCACTGAAGTATGGACGAGTGCTTTGTCCTTTTTCCTGGCCTAAGCATGGTTTGCTGGAAACTTGCATTTCCTTCTGACTCCTCCTGAGACATAAGAGACTTGAGAAAGACTTAGGAGAGAGGTGAAAAATACAGAGAATGGAATCAAAGACTATCAGCTCATGAGGAAGCATTAATTAAAGCTACATTAAAGAAGTAACACATGGCTTCCCCAAAAGAGTATTCTTGTCCCTAACTCCTGCTTCAAGGCTTGGAACTCTGGACAAAGAATTCCAGGCTCCCAGACCACAGAAGACCTAAAGCTGAGACTACTTTTAAACTCTTCTCTTTTGGAATCTAGCTCTCATTTAGTAAAGTCAAGGCAGAAAAAGATGTTTTTAACAACTAAGAAAAGGAGGGTGAGAATGGTTGTACAGTTGAAAAATTAATGCCAATGTGTAAAAAGTGTGGCGTTGGTGTAGATTTTGCTACCCACATTCTCAACAGCAAAAAAAAAAAAAAATAGGAAAAAAGAGTTTTAATATAACACTTTGGTTGAAAGTCCATTTTGAGAAACTGACTTTCCCTGTATACAAAAAAAATAAGGTCATGTATAAAGAAAGCTGCTCAGAGGTAGCGACTTTAAAAAATTAATACAACTTTCTGTTTCAAAGACTAATGCTATCTGGATAAAGAGAGGCGAATGAATATCTCTTTCTACACACACACCCACACACACACACACCCACACCCCCCAAAGTTATCCTTCCTGTTTTCTGCTTTACTCTACTTCTTAGTTACCTTGTATCGTATGGTTTCATCTAATCTTTGGCAGGCCATCTGTTAGCTTTCTGGTTTCCACTCTACTTTTTTAAACTATTAACTCATTTTCATGAAACTTACATAATGCCAAAGTCAAACTATGTAATTAAAGACCATATTGGATGCTATAACCATATGGTATGGAAGTTAAGGATTTAGGCTTGAAGTTACAATGCCTGTTTTTGTAAACACACTTCAATTCTTTAAATTAGATAATCTTAGGCAAGTTGCCTAACACCTTTGTGCTTAAGCTTCCTTAAAGCTTTTTCAAAGGCTGTGAGAGGAATAACAGAGTAATAACATTTAAAACGTTTAGGAAACATCATTATTCTAAAAAGGTTAATTGTAATTTTATAATGATAATGCAGATTTATTTTTAAGAGCACTCCTTATTTAGTGGCTGAAATCCTTCTTGTCTTGAGTTTTACCCAAGTGCTGTTTCAATGTCTTTCAATGTTCTCCCAGTTCTACCAACACTATTAGTTAATCAATCCCAGGAGCATGCATTAGCTTTGACTTGATTTTATTCCCCTTAAGTCATCAAGTTACCAGTCTTTCTGAAACATCTCAAACACAGTTCATTCTCTTTTCCTGGTACATCTAGTCTTTGTTTTCATCACCAAATACAATAAAATAGCATCACTGTTTGAAAAAAAGGGAAAGTTCTAGCTAATCTCATCCATTCTAGATTTTTTGTTTTCATTAATGTAATCTGTATCTGTTCAATAAATATCTCTTCTAATTGCATAATATTCTTGTTATCTTTTTAAACAAAATCAGGTCAAACTGCTCTCTGATTTTTCAAGGGCCTCTGTAAAGTCAAACCTACCATTAATCTGATAAAACCATTATTTCTGTTTTCTCAGTTACAACTTGGCTCCACCTTGAGTCTTCATGGTCTGAAACAAATTACTAAAATTCCATCTACTCTGTCTTTTTTGTACTTTTCTCCTCCTGACTCCTGCTGCCAAATCTAACTCCAAGCTGGTCTTTGGCTTACTGAATTCTCATACTGGTACCAGTATCACACAACAGAGTATTTGGTTATCAAAGGCAAGACCCAGATCTCTACATGTTTCTTTGTGTCCTCATTTTGTTTTGCTTTGGTTTTCTTCCCTTTGTCTCTTTGCAGGTAAAGAAAGGCTTTTAACTATCCTTCATGCTTATTATTCACACTCAAACCAGATTAGGCAATTTTTAAATTTAAACTCACTGATATCACCACAGTATTCCTATGTGATGAGAAGAAACTGCAGAAAACAAATTGATGCCCTTAAGCTGTGGTGTTGGAGAACTGATAGTCAAGCCCTATGGATGGCCAAGAGAAAGAACAGATACGCCTTGAAAAGGGTACAGCCGGAGTGCTTTTCGGAGGCAAAAATGATGAGGCTTCACCTCACATACTTCGGGCAAGTTGCTAGGTGGGGTTTTTCCTTGGAGAGGGATATGATGCTTAGAAGGGTGGAGGGCTGGGAAAGGAGAGGAAGTCCCTCAACCAGGTGGACTGACACAGTGACTGCTGCAATGAACTACTGTGTGTCAAAAAGTGTGAGGATGGTACAGGATAGAACAAGGCTCAGATCTTTCGTTCATAGGGTTGCTATGAGTTGAACTTGACTTGATGGCATCTAACAACAACAGCAACAATTAACAGTTGAGGAAACAGAGGCTCTTCCCCAGCTCATAGTTTTACTATTGCTTTTCTCTCTGCCTGCAGTGGTCTTTTTCCAGAATCTTTGTATTTGCCTCATTCATTCTTCAGAAAACAGTTTAAATGTTTTTTCTGACATGTAAAACTGTTGTTGTTGACTGTCATCTAGTAGAGCATGACTCATAGCAACTCTATGAACAAAAGACTGAATGCTTTTCCATAACTTTGTCATTTCTCCAAATTTATAGAGTTTCCAGAGGCATGTGGTTTAGGAAGTGGATGCCACGCCTGCTTACAAACCTGTTTTACAACTGGAAGCTCTGCCAAACACTGTCCACATTGGGAAACCATTCTGGCATTTGATACCCCAATGGCACAAGGTTCAGCATCACAGCAACCCAGGTTACTTCAAACTGCACATTGACAGAGTGATGTACAAAGTGGAAGAGTGTTTCTCCATATATACCAGCACTAGTTTCACTCAGCAGTGGTTAAGTGTCATCAAGTTGAATATGACTTAGGGTGAGTTTTGCACAAAAGACCTAACTCTGTTCTATAACTAACATCATTTCTGTACAGAACTCTGTTCTATAACTAACATAATTTCTGCACATTTATAGAGATTAGAGAGACTGTAGACTTTAGAGAGTTTGCAGAGTTTCTAGAGGCATCTTGTTATGAAGTGGATGCCACTCTTTCTTCCCAGCATAAATCAATCTGGAAGCTCTTCTAAACACTGTATATAATGGGTAACCATTATGGTATTTGACAAGACTATGGAACAATCTGCAGCATCACAGCAACACCAAGTTGTTCAGTTCAGTAAATAGACAAAAAGATTGCTGTATCATCCAAGAAATATTCATTTGAAAATAAATTTGGCAGTAATACACATCAAACATGACCCCCAAAAACACACCCCAAAAAACTTCCCTTACATGCCCATCAAGACTTCCATCTGGATGCAGCAAACAGCCAAACTTCCAGAGTGGAGGCTCCAGGCCCCAGCCTGCAGTCCCATCGCCTCCCCCTGTGGGGTTTTAAAGCCACACCTTTGTGCAGACTTCTACCCAAGGCAAATGCTCAAAGACACCCGCTCTTTGGGGGCTGGGGGGGGGGAAGGGAGTAATACACA